AGACTCGGTTACCTGCCCCGTAATAATGCCGTTGGAAATTAATTCACGAATAAGATTTCTTGATGAGCTAGAAACACTCGGATTTGAAGTATCTAAATGAACATTATTGTGCCAGCTAGCCTACACCAGTTGGTTGGGATTGATTGTCAGTTCAGATGCAAAATATTTAAAGCAAAAGGTTATACACCATAGATGTGTGTGTGTGTGTGTGTGTGACTGCCGTAACCGTAGCATCGAGACCAACGTGTATTAATTAATGGTTTGAACTTCGCGTGTTTACACCAGCATGGCGGCTGTGATATTTAGCGTGGCGGGTGCATTTTAGGATGGCGGGGCGGGGATCGATGATAGCCTGGTGGGCCGCCAGGCTATAAGTGCCCTTGGAGAACCCTGCCATGGTGATCGGGTATAAGGCCATGTATGTTTTCCAAGGATCGTTGATCTTATTATCTCAATGAAAAAACAGAAATGCATGTATACAATCTTATAGGGTATCATTAATCAAACTGAAACAGTTCTAAAATCAAAGTACGTCCGTACTCAGTCTCTAGCAAATTATATGTGCTAGGTCATACATATCTATTTTTGCACCTAATCACTGCAATAAACTCAGTTCTGTATATTGAAACAACAGCATGGATAAGCCTGATTATCAGCTTCTATATATGCGATGGCCGCTGCTGAGATATTTGTTACACAGACATAATGTCAGGAGCTAATAATGACATTATTATTATCTATTGAATTTGTCATTATTAGCTCCTGATAATGTGTGCATGTTTAAATAAACATGATACGCAAATAATCATGTGAGGTTATTCGCTACTACTACACTAACACTGTACTAACCCACTTCTCAGAAGAAGAACCTTGTACTTTGCACTTGTCAGCATTATGCTGGCTAGTTTTAGAATCGCTTATAGCAGCACGGGAGTTAGGTAAAACAGCGGTGGTGACATGACACCTGAATGAACCCTTCCCGCTAGCATTACAGGGGTGCAATTGTGAAAAGGTATCAATGGACTCTAGCTGACAGGAACGTATAACACTTCTGACAAATAAACGCTGAAACTTCTAAAGGTGAAGGCATGTTTACACATAACAAAGAACCAGAATTGAGGAAACTTATGTTAGTGCGATAAGCCTGCTATTGAAAACTGGCACGTTAATTATTAGCTAGAATCCATCCTCCTTGTCCAACGAATGAGCAGTGCTGGCAGAATCCCTTCGTTCTCTCATGCTGTACACTATCCGCTGGGCAGCCAGCAAATTCCGTAAACTCACCGGTGGAAACCGAGTCGCATCCGTGGTCGAACAGCTCTCCCAACGGGCTGGAGGTGCCTGTCCGGCGTGCCTGCTTACCATCAAGTGCGTCCAGCGTCTGATAGACGAAGAGACCGATGGCGCAGAGCACATACACCCACGATGGTGCCTGCAGGAGTGATGTCATGAAACTGGTGTTATAATAGTTGTGATGCAAGCACAACATGATTAATTCTATCCACATGGTGCCCAGAATACATTAATTCTCTCACTTTTTACACTTGAATTACATGCTTGGTTTTTACTTGGTTATATATCCTTACTAATACTGAATGACTAAATACTGAATAGCATTGCTGCTCTACACAATTGACCCAACACTAATATAACTCATCAGTGAACTAAAACCATAGATATTGAGGTTTATGCCATACAGTAGGCCAGGGAACTTTAGCTTGACCCTGTGCACAGTACAGTAATGCTCCTGCATTCCGGAAGCTCAAGTCAATGACATTTGCCCACAGTGAATTTGTAAATTGTGGCCAATAAGGCAATAACCTCAAGATGCGAAACAGAAATTAGCACTTATGGACATTTTCAAAAGAACGAAGTGGGCATACGCAATAACTGTTAATAAAAGTAATATATATGGAGCAAACTATCAGTGACAAAGGCAGACCAGCTTTGCTCTGTGCCAGCATTACACGTGCAGTGTGCACGAAAATATTCGCTGGCAATCCTAAAATTAACGTTTTAACACCCAGTGCACTCCAAGTACATTTTCTATCGTCAATGATTCTACATGGTGCCTATGTGGTGGGGACAGATCTGATTTAAGATTCACATTGCAAATTTTCACGTAACGGGCACATTTCTGGAATGCACCACCTCCGTAGTGCAGGGCCTTATACTTTATAAGCCCTAGATGTGTTGTCGCACCTATAGTGAGCACACGTATATGAATGATGGCAGCATATGTCAGTATATAACTATATGCAGAATATATATCGTCAATCAATGTACAACAAGGCAAAGTCTATGACATCACAGGAAATCATTAATTAGACCCTACGTAGCACTATCAGACAGAGAAGGGAACATACTTCGCTCCGTGCATCTGGACTGTAGAAGATCAACAATAGTGATGTAAAGATGTTTATTGCAAGTCCCAGGATGGTCAGTGTATTTGGCGCCATCCATCTTGGAATATGTTCGATGCTAGAGTTCCAAAACACCTTTAAAACATTACAAAACCGAAGATTTATGTAAAATGTGATTATAGGCATGCAGTTACTATGTCAGTGTTTATATGTGCAGTTACCACAAATAAAAAATATATTTATTGTTTATTTATACTGGCAATTCATTGGCTTGATCCCACATTCACTTATTTATACAGAGAATCACTTGTCTACACGACACAGACTGACACACTTACACAAACTGTACCGTTACAGAAACTCAGCCGAGCTGTTTTGAAGCGTAATGAACCGAAAGTAATTTAGGTCCCCAATGCAGGACCCTTCGGCTCAGGGATAGAGAAGATGTCCAGTCCTATCTTATCAACTAACATCATCCTATCCAATCACCGTACTGGACATCATCTCTATCCTTTTTCAGGGATAGATAAGATGTCCAGTCCTATCTTATCAACTAACATCATCCTATCCAATCACCGTACTGGACATCATCTCTATCCTTGAACCGACCCTTCGCAGATTGCCAATTTGCCTCTCCTTTCGTCCACAGGCACTTGGAGCGTTTCAATAAAATATAATGCTAAATAAATACGAAATCTATTTACTACCACTACCAGTCTTTCTAGACTAGTTAGAGTGTTTCTCTACTCTCTTTCGCCTATATAGAGACTCCATATATATATGTGTCAGTGTGCGGCAGCGTGCACGCGTTGTACATGTGTGTTGCAGAGGAGCATTTGCACGGCATTTACAGGAAATTGTCAGCAATAATAGGCGAAAGAGAGTAGAGAAACATTAAGACTTTGGTAGTAGATAGATTTCGTATTTATTTAGCATTATATTTTATTGAAACGTACGCTCCAAGTGCCTGTGCTTTCGTCTGTTTTGTTTATTGTGCGTGTGTCACTGTGTATCACTGTATCATCATCATGGCCTATACAATAGACTGAATAGTCAATACCTGCATATATGGATCAAGCACAGATGTATTCTCGCACTTGTATTTGTGCTCTTTCAATCTCTTCAGCTGTGTGGGTGAAAGGAAGCCCGTCATCCTTTCGCTCCAGTACTTGAAGATATCGACCATTATATTACCACCTCAAAACGAAGACGACCTTATCGAAACCAAGGATCGAAATCACCTGTTTCTCTGTTCGTTCGCAGCATTCGCAGTCCTGGGAAAATAAATTTATCGAGCATATGCGCCAGGACAGAAACATGAACAAGAAGCATAATTATGCTGAATATATCATATACATAAATATATCTATTCATAAACTATCTTTATTTAAATAAAATTTACAATATTATTAATCAATTTATTAAAAATATTTGTTTCATAAATCAAATGTCACCCAAAGTTCAAAGTTTGGTTGACTTAACATGGCGGCCCCCACTGAAGTATCTGTCAAGATAACAGAAAAGCTTTCAGCTCGTTTGTTATTGCTTTTAACATCCAGTAGCGTGTCTGAAAATGTTAAGGTGCAGTTTGAAGCCTGGAGAAGCGAGCTGAATGAAAGGCCAGACCGTCTTCCATTAAAGCTACTCAAGATATTGCATAAATGGAATCAAGAGCAATCAGGTGCCATAGGCATAGGCCTAGCCATGTTACGCGTTCATGGCTACGCGTCCGGAACCGGTCGCCTAGCCTCCAGGCTACGCACCCGGAACCGGTCGCCTAGCCTCCAGGCTACGCGTCCGGAACCGGTCGCCTAGCCTCCAGGCTACGCATCCGGACATCCACTCACACAGTGGTCGCGCGCGCGTACACGCATGATTGCGCAACGTGACAATCTCTCTCTCTCTCTCTCTCTCTCTCTCTCTCTCTCTCTCACACACACACACACAACACACACAACGAACCCCCACACACACACACAACACTCACACCTCTAGTCTCTCTCAGTCATCTCTCTCTCTCTCTCTCTCTCTCTCTCTCCTCTCTCTCTCTCTCTCTTCTCTCTCTCTCTCTCCTCTCTCTCTCTCTCTCTCTCTCTCTCATACACATACACACACACATCCGTCTGGGATTCTATCTCTCTCTCTCTCTCTCTCTCTCTCTCTCTCCTCTCTCTCTCTCTCTCTCTCTTCCTCTCTCGCTCTCTCTCTCTCTCTCTCTCTCCCACACACACACTCTCCCTCTTCTCTCTGTATCTTACACACACACACACACACACCTCTCTCTCTCTCTCTCTCTCGATCACACACACGCACGCACACACACGCACACACACACACACACTCGGCAATCGGCAGAGCATCCCGTTGCGCAATCATGCGTGTACGTGTTGCAAGATCACTGTGTGAGATGGATGTCCGGAACCGGTCGCGTAGCCACGGCCTATAATATATGACATGCCGAGCTCAGTATTACTATTAATGTTATTATCAGACAAATTGGAAAGGAGCCTTTTGAAAGTTGGCAAGCTCCATACTTGCATTACTGTGCATGCTCAGGAACTAATACAAGAGCGAGTTATAGATCGAAATTAATACTCATGCGAAAATTATAATTTTCAGCACTCTCAACACTCAAGTCTTGTGTAGTTCTCGCGCATGTGCAGTAATGCAAGTATAGAGTATATTATTACTATAAAATATTTATTGCATGTATTTCAAATACTGTAAAGAATTCTGATAGATGCAATAGTAATAATTTATACAATGTAACATTACATTACATTATAAATATACTTGCAACATGTAACAAGTCAGGTCAAATGTGGTTATACAATTGTTTATTTATAAAATTCAGAGTTTGTTTTCAAGCACCAAGGTTTTTCGTATTGAAAGGTGTCAGGCTCCTTCCTACTGAAACAGTCGTAGAACCGGGTCCGGCTATAGTCGTGCTAGTACTGTAAGGGAAACAATAAATAATATTTTTACAGAAAACCAAAAGTTAAGAAATCGGTGGAAATTGTGCAAAATTCTTCAAACTCGTCGTGGTGCTGTTTTCCGGATGACATTCATTACATCGTGTGCATGATTTCTCAGTGTCGAGCTATCGACATGGTTGACGTCCAGCTCTCTCTTTGTAACACGTACGATTTACATCATAACTGTGTAACAAGCGATGTACATCTTCACTGTTCACATACTGATATAGCCACTGGGACTGTGAATGTGATGAGTGCTTATTACAAGGTTACACAAGGTTAAAATCATGTCATCCATACTTAAATCGCACAAGTAGACGGTTACGCATCCAAGTCTTTTGTTTAGTTTTTATAAGCCTTGTTTAGCCTCAAAGCAGACGTATGTGTTGTCTGTTGCAGATTCAGAGAAAGTTTATTTACACGAGTTATTGGCAGATTCTGAGGTCTTGCTTCCACAGCCAGTAATGGAACCCCGGGTAAAATACACATAATACTGTTTGTTGATAGCGCTCAACGTTTGTGAGTCTTAAGCTCATCATAATCAATTCCACATTTTATTCTTAAAGGTTGTTTACAGCGTTTAACCTTTGGTCATGTGTGTTACCTATATGCACGTTTTATCGTGGTGGATAGGGCAGCCAGGGATACGCGTGGGCCCGCGAGATGTTAATATTCTCACCTGGCTTTGATTATCATAGAACCCAGAGTTGGTGGTTCGACTAGAGAGGCTCAAACACGAACAAGAGGACCGCGAGTATCGAAAGATGACCAAGGGCGTCGATCTTACGGTGATTATTGTTATCTAGTCTGACTGGTAGACGCTCACTGTTGTACGTGTGATCAAAAATTTACCTATCTATTGTGGCGAGATAACGATGCCCCACTCCCCTCCTCGATAGCATTGCTAGGTCAATGTAGATAGAAGTTTGTAAGTGATTCTCATGCTTGCACAAAATAGCCACCCTGTATAGTGCTTTGTTGCCAAGCATTGTTTTTATAATGCCCCATCACAATAATGATTGGTCAGATTTGACATCTGATCGTACCAGGCGGATTGGTCAATTGTCAACAGATTGACGAGTAACAATAATAAAAGTAATAAACGATTGACACGTATATATCAGGCATCATGCATGTCATATATATATTTCAGGCATTTTATTGTTTCAACAAACGTTTTTTTTTTCCGATTTCAGTGGCGAGCAAAAGAAAAGCAATCTCTGAGCAGTGAACGTGAGCAACCTTCTTATTATTATCTGCATATTCAATATAACTATGCATTGTAATTCAACTGTTATTTGCATTGTAGTGCCATCTATCGGTAGCCTCACTCGCAAACTTTCTTGCCCGACTATTCTCAAATCCACATTTACGGTCATTTGATTTTTCCGTTACAGTTCAAGGTGTGAAACAGCAACTGATTGCAATGTTTAACTTTGTGCTCACGGTCGTCTGCTCGTTCGTGTTTGGATATAAAGCCGCGGAGTACTCCCTACCGACACCTCACATTCCCCTGGTGAGTAATAATACAATGCAAAGCAGCATGTGCCTGAACTCAGATACATACAAAATAAATACGCGTTCTACACGAGTCTTGTTATTAACAGTTAGAACAGGCGAGAAAGGTATATATGCAGATGCAGACATATGTGCCAGGGTAGCATGACCTTTATTGCGGGTTTTGTTTTTCTATTGCAGCAAATATTTGTTGGTTTCCTGTTGGCGTTGATTGTTGCGATCGCTGATCTGTACTTCATAATAAAGAACCTGTGACAACACAACGATCATCTCATCACATGCAGGATGTCCTCGCTCGAACGTCACCCAGGGATCATGTCTCCAGCAAGGCCTATAGCCTGCACAATTTATTAAGCGGTAAAATTTCATGATGCAGCCAAGTAGTGACGAGGGAGGGGTCAAATCCCGGTCAACGTGTGTAGTGCTGGGAACTACCTGGCGATTTACACTTTTTAGGGGCATTTGCATTTATATATTTTTTAATTATAGAGGTAGCTTGCGGCAGGCAGGCTACGCCTAACCCTGACTCTAATATTTTCCATTTTTAAGTGGCTACACCCTCGCCTGCCAAACGTAATAGAAAAGTTATCATCTCAAACGTTCATAAGTCAAAGTTGTGAGCAAGCATTGTAAGAAGGATGAACATAAAGTCATGCAAACAGTTCCACTACGTTCAGATGTACGAAGTCTGTGGCAGACGTATCAACAGCCGAGTGAGTGAGACAGTGGGCGGGTAGGTAAGGGAGCGAGTGGCCGAGTAAGTGAGTAAACGACCAAGGAAAATACATGTATGTGTGGTGCATACAGGTGCAAGGCATTGATTGCAAGAATAAGTATTTGTAATAGGTGTAGATAGGAGATTTTCTTTGTATGACTGTATATATGTTATTGTACAATAAAGTAACCGTAAAATATTACAAAATATTCTATGGTTTATTCAGTTTTTTACTTCTGTGCATTATAGTTACGACAGTAGATATATATGTACATACACAACGTATTTTACAACATTATTGCAAGCAGAACTTTACCCATCCAACATTTACCACTTGTAACCTCATCTCTGATCAACATTACAAACCATGAGCACACAGAAGATCACATATTCTACTCTATCAACGACACGATCACACAATCCCATACCCGCATACACGTCAAAATATGTACAACACAAACGTGGTGAAAACGTTAAGACTCGTTTTAAAAATCGGTTGATATTTAAAATGTCGCCAAAAAAAAATCGTTCGTTAGAAAAAGTCGCTCGCCTTGTGTCTCTTCGGCAGCTGCAGCAGGTTGTCGGTGATGGACGCTGCCTCGTACGTTGGCGCGGCGACGCCGCCACCGCTCCCCGGGGTGCGCGTGGACGCGTGCGGGGTGCCGGGAGCGATGGGTGTAGCGTCGGCGCGTGCGGGGCTAGGCGTGTAGCTCGCCTGCAGCGCGCGGTCAGTGCCGACGCGGATCCCCAGCTTGCTGCTTAGCAGACGCTGCGCTGCCGGCGACATCAGCTCGAGGCGGTCCGCTGACCTCTGCGACCCGAAGCGACCGGGCGGGGTCGTGAGCGCGAGCGACGCCTGCTGCAGTGCTGCCTGCTTGCGCTGCCGGTGCTGACGGCCGCTTTTCTCCGCTAGCTTCATGCCAAGGCGGTCGCGCCGCGGCACCTGCGGCAGCTGGAACGACGGGCCGGGCGTGCGCGCTAGCGGCACGTCACTGCCGTCCAGCAAGAACGGCGTGCCCTCGATCTCGCCCCACGTCATGAGCGGCGTCGCGCCGGGGCCCGGCTGCGGAGACGGTGTCCGCACGTAGCCGCGCCCCGCCGCCGCCGCCGCCGCCCCGTCGTCCTCGGGCAACAGCTCCTTGCCGTCGGCGCCGATGCGGCCATGCAGCACCCTCTTGTGAGTGCTGGCAGCGGCAGCAAGCGCCTCGCTGCTCTTCCGTTGGTTGAACGGGTTGTAAGCAAAGCGTGTGTTGTCATGGACGATCTCGCGCGGCTGCAGCGGTCGCGCTACCAGCTCATCGGCTGTGAGGGGCGCGCCGTCAGGCGGGTACATGACCGTGTTCTTGGTCGTGTAGTGCCAGGTGTTGATTGGCTGACTGCCGTTGGTAATCGCCTGCTGCTCTATGGAAGGTAGCGCCATGGCAGCCAACTGTCGGTCGGCGTGTTCCCCTTCCTGCAGCAGAGGTCTTACATTATAGTTGCTTCACACTTCAATAACTACAGGCACAAACGCACACGCACACCCACATGCGTGCATGTGTAATGCAGAAATGTGGTACCGTGAGAACGGTGGCACATACGACCGTTCAGGGACGAACGGCGGATGGCGTACGACATATTTAGAAGGAGCATATCAATTAACGTCACGGACGGCATAGCGATAGAATCATTAATAGAGGTACGGCCGGGTCTCACGGCCGGACGACGAGGGTAACGGCCTCGGCCCGACCCTAGAACAGAGCCCAAGTTGTCAACCAGGCAGTCAGTAAGCAACATTTAATGACAGTCCGACAACTGGTCAAAGAGAGCATTGAACCCCAACAATGGAACGGTCGTCCCGACCGGTCCTTGTGATCACTAGCCGATTAGACTAGATTAGGTAGTAATAATCACTACAAATTCAATATACACTACACATGCACGTGTAATGGCATGCAAGCACAAACATGCACCCACAGATGCATGCACTGCAAGTGAAATGTGTATCTGGCTCACCTAAACTACCGGTCATATTATGGGACATACGTCGCACAGATAATCGGCACAGAACTTTCGCCTACAGGACCCGACCTTCCACAAACATGGAAAGGCACGCCAAATAACATAACTTGAGGTCGTAAAGATGACACGTAAATGTGTGACGAAAGAAGTTTTGACCGATTCACAACTAGAGAGTAGAGACTATGCTTCTAGTGTGACCTAGGGTCCCTATATACAGAGAGTTGCGCCATGACGAGTCGGAAAACTATCGGTCACGTGGTCGCTGGACGACATGTTGTTTCCAAATAGATACGCACGGCTATGGACGTAAGAAAGTGTACAATTAAATTATCATATGGCGCGAACAATTTGAGTTCCATTTCTAGAAATCTAGATACACATAGACACATGTCTTAGCTATAATCTCTGTAAATTTTGAGTTTATTGAAGCACGATTAGTCTAATTAATTACTACGGAACATTGTACAGCGTATCCATACAGCGGCAGCGGTGAGGATCCATTTGGAAACAAA